TCAGCAATATTAATGAACAGAGAGAAGCTTTCTGTCTAAACCAACAATGGCAACTTCATGGGAAAAAAATTCTTTTCATTAAACTTTTAAAAAAATTATTTATGAAGTAGTCACACAGGATTTAAAGCATGCATCAGACTGATTTGTCATAATTCTGACTGTTTTGTGTAAAAACCCCATAGTATTCCTGCTTGTTGGCTTTCTAATTACTTGGTACAAAGACATAAACTACTGCATATGCTAGGATGAATGCACACAACTGTGTCAAATAGTAAAGGAGCCAAAGAAAGAAAATATTAAAATACTGCTTCTTTTGGTATCCTTGGAGAATCTGTGGTGGTAACAAGGCTTGTTGTTTCCTGCCTGAAGAAACATTACATATACGGGAGACAGATCTCTAAATATTTACACTGTGAAGATCTTGTTCTCTTGCACTAGCCCGAATCATAAGATTTTAAAATTGATATAAGGGTTATTCCAGACATTCACTCTCCCTGCCTGGCAGCGAGGACTGCATCAAGCTCATCTGTGCTCGTTCATTTGGGAAGCATGTACATAGGACAGGCAATCCAAAGGGATTCCTCTATCCTGGCAACCCTCCAGCAGTCTTCAGGCTGCAGCTGAGGTAACGATGGGACTGCAGGACTGTCTGCCCTGCGGTCATGAGCAGTGACCATGGTCAACAAGCTGCTGAATCCATCCAGTGATGACACAAGTAACTCTGGTTCTAGCTGGCTGATCAATACAGTTAATTAAAAATAGCAGGTAGACCTGTTTGGAATAACTACTGGGTAATTTTGCTTACTTTCTACACATAGTCCATTGTGTAGTGGCTGAATTTTTAAATATCTGGTGTTTTGTAAATTAAGTATATGATGAAATTTCTTTTCCCACCTTGAACAACTAAAGAACACAATCCATAACAATTATAAATTTCAGTGGTTTAATTTTCATTTCATATAGTTTAATGGATATGAAAAGAAATTAAAATTGTTAATCCAAGAATCCCATTTTTATGCTTAGACTAATGCTTACAAAAAAAAAGAAAGAGAAGTAAGCTTAAACCTGAAGAAAATAGATAAGGAAAGAAAAAGGGTGCAACATGAAAATATTCATAGTTACAAACAGCATTAAAAAATTAATTTCAAATGTGCCACTTCCGATGTGCTTTGTCTAGTCTAGATCATTATTTTGATTGTTAACAGATCAGTGATCACTGTTATCTAAATTTCATTTTTTATTCAGTTTATTTTTATAAGAACAGAACTATATGGGCCCAATTAAAAAAAAAAAAACATTTCACACACTGTACTATGAAGCAGCCCAATTACTCAAAATGAATATAAGTTAATTAGCATAGGCAAAGCAAACATTTAATCAATAACAGTACTGCACTTTTAACACTTTTTCAGCCTTGCTGATATTGATTATGTGCATACAAACTTTACAGCTCAATCCTTTTCAGGTCACTTTTGCTCAAATTTTTAAGTCTCGAAACCAACTCATCTGTATTCATAGCCTATGTGCTTTAAAAGCAGTTGGACTTTGTTCAAACATTCAAAAATTCATCTTTGAGCTGCAACTCATCATAGAAGACTCAATTCCTCAAAGGAAATTGTTCTGGGAAAGTTATAAGCAGACAGAACAAGGATTTTTAATGGCAGTTGACTCACAGTGTCAAGCTCTCATCTCAAAAATGTTTACACATATGAGTATCTCATTAAAGAAAATCTAAGATTTCAGCGTTGCATCAAGGATCAAGATGTAGACAGACTGTGGGTTCCTTTGTGATGCTGTCCTGAAATCTGTGAAGGCTATATGTAGGCAGCTCACTTTCAGGTAGTATGGTCTTTAAGTATGGGCTTGTATCTGATTATCAGTTTAAAAAAAATAATATTGTCTTGCCCTCAGGAAAAGAAGAATCTTATTTAACTGTGTGTCAATTGTTCTTTATACAGACATATAAAGGCAGTACAGCCACGGAAGGAGCAAGGGTTGCAAATCTACCTTTCAGGTACCTGGAGACCTGAGCTGAATGCCTGCATTCCAGATAAAAGGAATTAAACTGCAAAAGGCAGCGTTTTCTCAAAAGCCACCCCTATCCCCACGCCAAATGAGAGCTAGATAAGCCAGGTTAGCAGGGAGAGGCAAGATGGAAGGGTGCAATACAGGAACAGGCAGCAAAAGCTCTTACTCTGTTCTGACCTTGAATCCTTGCACTTTCCACAAAATGGAGCAAGAAAAGCAGCTTTTTAGCTCCTTGGTGATTAAATGCCACACACTAAACATTGGAGACTCAAACCTCCTCTCTGCCTGAAGGAACTAACATTTACATCTCCCATAAGAACTCTCTAATGACTCAGCTATATGATATAATACCTTGGACTCTCACAACTTTTTTTCCTATTAAACCTCTACTACTCTTCCTTATGTGCCAAAATATTCACCTCAGCAAGAGCCAAGCACCGTTTTTTTCTCCATGCCCTGTTGCTTCTCCTGACCAGTGGGCTCAAGTCCTGCAAACCCTTCACCATTCCCAGCAAGCCAGACCAATTTCAAAGCAATGATTTGAGGCACCTCCTGCCTGCGCATGGATTCTTCCGCTTGGAGACAAGGCCATGCTGCCAAGAGTTGGGAATACGAGCAGCTTTCCAGGCATGGCACACACCCTACATGGAAACAGGGCAGAGGGTGTGAACCTGTCTCTGTAGGAATGCGGGACACCCCACCTATGGAGCTCTGAAATTCTGGAGAGGGTTCTGCTTCCAGGAGAGGTGGAGCGATGCCAGTGGTGGGGATCCACTGGGCTGCATCCATGATCATGGTGGGGCCATGAGATACCTGCCAGGCAGCTCTGTGCAAGCCAGCAGGCACAAGGACGTGAAGGAAAATCTCCTGGCAGATATGTGTGCGTCGAGTGTTTCTGGGGATCAAGACGCTGCTGCTCACCGGAGGGGAGAGGCCAGCTCTGTTGGGGATGGGAGCAACCTCACCGTGGTGGGCGTGCTGAGCTTCATTGCCTGGCTCTGAGGATGCTGGCACTGGAACAGTGAAGGCAGGTCGGTTGATTTCACCTCGATCCCATTTAGTAAGTTTTGAACGTTAGGTTTGTGTAGTTTTGTTTTGCCTTTTTTTGGTCTTTTTTTTTTTTTTT